CTTACCTTTCACATACGAGCTCCGTTTTCGACGTTTTTTATATCCACACGTAGGTAAAAACAAGATATACAACTTTCCTTTTGACTTCGTCGTCTAATTCTCGACCGATCTTAAATTTAACAGTAGGAGGAGATTATACTGTTAAATGACCGCGTAAAATTCATAACTTCTACATACGGGCTCCGTTTTCGTCTGTCTTTTTATCGTTGAGCTCCTATTAATGAGATCTTAAAATCTCATTTGGTTCGCATTGGCCAAAAATCGATCGATCTAAAATTCGAGTTTCGGGTTGTGCACTGCTGATCCGAAACTTCGAAAAACCATAACTTCCTCATAGGAAGTCAAATTTGGGTGTTCTTTTTATGGACGCTCTCGGTTTAATGAACACTACGAATTTTTTTTATATTACTAAGGCTAAAAAGTCCTCTATCATCATTTCACTATTTACGTCGCGCACCGTCGTGTCGGTTCTGTCGCGAAACTTCGACGGGCCATAACTTCTTCGTTATAGCTCGAATTTCGGCGTTCTTTATATATATCCGGAATCCTTGTTTCGACCACTACAACTTTATGTAAAGATATTGGGTTTATCTCACACTTTAATTTTGACGCTTATTTTTATTCTTTACTAATTATATCTTTGTAATTAAGTATAAAGCACATAAATTCACATAATTCACGTAATACTCAAATAATTCATCTGTATTGCTTCAAAAAGAGTTACAATAGTTGACCTAGACTATTACATCATCTACTAATTCTTAACCCCGAAACACGGGCGTTACACATGCTCATCACAGCCTAGGACATGGCTGGACTAAATTACTTAAAGGCGACTTTGAAGAATGAGGTTGAAATGATGGATTTAGGAGGATCAAAGAAGATACTTGGGATAAATATTCAAAGGGATAGAAAAGCAGGGAAGTTGTGTATTTCTCAATAAAAGTACATTAAAAAAGGTTTGTAGTCTTTCAATTGTGACCAGTCCAAACTAGTTGGAACTCCTTTAGCAGTTCACCTTAAACTTGGTCCAGATACTATACCTAAAACTAATGAAGAAAGGAAGTACATGAGCAGGGTTCCTTACTCTAGTTCTTTTGGAAGTCTCATGTATGCAATGGTCTATACCAGACCTGATTTTAGCTCATTCAGTTAGTGTGGTAAGCATGTTTATGAGCAATCCATGGAAGGCTCATTGGGAAGTTATCAAATGGATTATGCGATACTTGAAGGGAATGATAGATGTTTTCTTGGTGGATGGAGCTAATACGAAAAGTGACTCGGATGGATATGCAGAATCTGATCATGGTGGTGATTTATTGAAGCGCAGGTCAAGGATGTGTTATATTTTCACTTTGTTCGAATGTGCCATAAGTTAGAAGTTAACGTTACAAGATATCGTTGCTTTGTCTATAACTGAATCCGACTACATGTCTATGACGAAAGGAAAAGGGAGGAAATATGGTTGCATGAGCTTATTTAGAGTGATGGTCTGAAGGCGGAGAAGCCTATATTATACTATGACAATCAGAGTGCATTGAATCATGCAAAGAATCCTATGTATAACGAGAAGACGAAGAAACATTGATGTCAGATTGAATTTTATTCGTGACATTTTGGAAACAGACATGTTCTAAATACTAAAGGTTGATACCAGGGTTAATCCAATAGATATGTTGAAAAAGTCATTGCCCATGGAGAATGACAAAGCTTTTCCTGGACTTAGTTTATGTGTAAGAGTTAGGTCCCTTCGAGGATGAATAACAGGAAGGGAGAGGAAGTTCTAGTTTAAGGTGGAATTTAGAGGATGCTCAAGTCAAGGTGGAGATTGTTAAATGTGACTTGAGCATTTGGAGCATCACATGGAGCATTTGATTTCAATGGAGCACTTAGAACTCAATGGAGCACTTGTGATTCATGGAGCTTGTGACGAAGGAATGGATCATCTAAAAAGGGAATGTATCTCCTAACAAACGACATGATATGCCAAACTGATAGGAGATGCCACGAAGTGACTTGATATGCCACCAAGTGACTTGATATGCAACCACGTTACATGATATGCCACCAAGTGACTTGATATGCAACCAAGTTACATGATATGCCACCAAGTGACTTGATATGCCACCAAATGATTTGATATGCCACCAAGTAACATGATATGTCACCAAGTAATTTGATATGCCATCAAGTGACTTGATATGCCACCAAGTAATAAGATATGCTATTCATGAAGAGGATGGACCATTACGGAGAGGATGTGTCAACTTGGACTCTAGATGCACCATTTGAGAATGAGGGGTGCCAACTTGGAAGATGATGCGCCAACCTAGTAGTATTGCGTCATCCCTTGATCAAGATGTTCCATCCATATGACTGATGCGCCATCTTGATGCAAGGATGCACCACTTGGTTCCTTGATATGCCAAGGTATCCCTTGATGAGCCGTATACTATGAAGTCCTATATGATGCTCAAGATTGTCCAAGGATTCCATGAAATTAAAGATGTGTAAGGAATACACTTTGATACGCCACCATGATGGATCAAGCGCCACTAGTGTTAGCGATGTGCCACCTGTGCGTGATGATGTGCCACTATGGATCAAGATGTTCCAACATGTGTGTTGTTGATGCTTATGGGTTGTATGACATGGATGAATGTTCCAGAAGATGTTGCATGGTGGATTGTGATTGATTTACACCTTTCTTGGTCCTATGGTCCTATAATCTTGGCCAATTAGGGTTTTACGTATGATCCCTCAAGTATAAATAGGGACGCATGCTAAGTCATTTAAAGTGTTTGAATTCTAGAGTGATAGACGAATCTTTTTGAAATTGTACTTCTAACCTCTGTTTGAGAAATCTGAAATAAAGAATACTCCCCTCTTGCCCGTAGACATAGGTCACCTTGACCGAACCACATAAATACAGTGTCTTGTGTGCTTTGCTAGTTATCCGCTTTACTTTCTAACAACACTTCTTGAAGCTGTAAAGACGCTACCAGCTGTATGAATGATTCGAGTATTTTTCACAAAGGGGGAGAATGTAGAGTTCAAAGTTGTTGTGAATATATTTGATATAGAAGTTTGTATGTCGAAGTGTCTTTATGGAATAGGTTGATTGTATTCAATATCGAAGGTTATGCACCTTCGATATATGTATGTATTTAAGAGAGCACTTATGAGTTAGTACTTTAATGTCGAAGTCTCTCATTTTCATAGCTTGTAACCTTTTCTGCTTCCAGACTTAATGAGAGCTTAACAAAATTTATTTACTTCGTGTGTTCACATCTTATACTGAAATCATTAGTTGATTGTATTCTTGTATTATCACGAGAGTTGAAAATCCTAAAAATAGAAGATGTGGGAAATGCCTTGTTTGTTTTCAGTTGCACAATCTTGTAATTAGAAAAGGCCAGGACCTCTTCTTTGAATTTGGACAAGAACCCTTGATTAACTAAATCATCAACTAAGGACTTGACAACCTTTCATCGAGTTTCCTTCTTTCACATTACGACAAAAGAAAGAGTCAAAGGAAGAATAACAAACTTACCTACACAAAGGCACAGAGAATCGACTAAAGAAGACAAGGTTTTTTCCAAACGAAAATTTGCCCCATTTTTTGGTGGCAATAATGGAAAACCTCGTAAATGCAAGTACAAAACGACAACGTATTAACAATTGGGATAAGAACCGTGTCTTATCAATATGCTACCAACTTTATTTTTGAATTTTAAACTTTTTTAAAATTTGTTTTTTATCCAAAAACCCAAAATTTAAGAGACATTTGTCAAAAATGAAAATTAACCTTTAAAATCTTGTTAAGGATTCAGGATAGCATGTCAAATAAGATACTGACTAATATTTTCCTCAAGATATTGAGGGCTACCACTTGAATTAATTTATCTTTATTCCTCTATATATGTAATTCGTGATTCAGGTGCTAAATATGTCAACAAAGATCTTGTAAATTCAGTATTCCAAGAAGAAACACACAGAAAAATACTTGGTCTCCAAGAATCTCGGAGAGAGGATAATGTTGAGATTTTAGCTATATAGTTATTAGCTGTTAGAAATATTGATGTATAAATAAGAAACTAGTATCGCACATATACACACATGAATGCACTTTAAACTACTTGTAATCAACAATAAAATTCATATCCCAATTTGTACTCTCTCAAATGATTAATAAGATACACAAAGACAACCTAACTTTTGTCATTTATGCCGAAGATTATGACTAAAATCAAGGACTTTCCTCATAATCCTTGTGTCTAGCATTTTCGTTTCTAGTATTACAATACGATCAAAACACGACAACCTTTCACTAAAATGGTTGAATTTCACTTCGCACATTTTTAACCAATACACTAATAATAAGTCTTGTAAAATCAAATAGTGAAAGGTTACAAAACGTTGAATTGACACATAATGGATGTATATAGAATTTTATATAATTTCTTAAACATACTAAAAAATCCAAAATAACAAGTGAACATAAAGCAAAAAATAAAAACATTTCCTATAAGGTAAGAACATATTGACACGATACATTCAAATGCAACAATTTCAGAGAAAATCCGATATCATCATGGCGACAAATTGTCATGCAAGTTAGAATTCCAGAGAATCATTAACTGTGGCAAAGGAACGATTAAGGCTATGTTTGGCCTGGTAGCTAAAAAACTAGCTGCTAAGTAGATTAATTAAGGGCATCTTTATAAGAAATTTTAAAAAAATATGAAAAGCTAGTTTAAGTAGATTTTTTGATAAAAGCCTAGTTTATAAGCTATTTTTTGGCTTATCAAATATGACTACTTAAAAATGCTCGAAAAATAAACTACTTTATCAGCTCTGGCGCGCAAAATATAAGTCGCAAAAGAAGTCCTAAACCAATGAAACCAAACAAACTCAAAGAGCTGGAATTATATGGATTGTACAGCCAAGAGGTACAACTAAAGACAACTAATGTAGAACAGAAATTATATTCTAACAAACGTGTTCCTGCTAGGAGTAAATCGAGAGCTATACCAAGAAGAGCTCATGTATGATAATTTTAAAACCATAACCTTGGACATTCCCCTCCATCAAATGTGCGATAATTACAAAAAGCCAAAAACTATAGCCGAATTCTAAGAATCATTTCCTTGCATGAAATATGATTGTCCCCAAACTTTACGTGAAACATAATCTGGTAAGGTGTGACTTTTAGTTGTTTAAAACCTGAAAGGCTCCACACTTGGCAAGTTCTACAGAGTAGGATTAATGTTTGCAAAATCATCTACTTGCAATGAAGTGTAGAGGTCGTCAACAGAGAAAGCTTGTCTGCATTTAAGTAGCTCGATCAATTGTTTATTCATATTCAGTAGCATTTGCAATGTATATATAATTGTAGGATAACTTCTATTGATCACAATAAAACGAAAACAAATTCCATTTAACCCATAATTTCTGGATATCGGTTTTGGATGGAATGGTAATAGATCTAGCTATAGATGAGTGTTGATCTAAAGAAATGGATGCAAGTTTGTCATGAAAACGAAAATCTAATTTAAAAATTAATAGCATATCCATGAGGGAAATAAAAAAACCTATTAGTTATACTTGTACTTTACATCTTCCAGAACAAATAAAGTAGTGAAAGAGAAACATATTTCTCTTATTCCCCGTTCCTCGAGAAGTCCAATACAATAGCTTCATTATAGAGTTAAGGAAAAAATATTACTAAAAAGGTTCTGTTTGGAATTGCTTGATTAATTTATCATGCAGCGTAGAGACAATATATAGTAAAAACAATTTAAATGAGTTATGTTATTGTAATTATATGCAACTATTGTATATCACAAAATATAATTGGGGCATTAGTTAATTAAGTTACTACAAAACTCGTTCCATTGGGGCCTTATTTTTCTAAGCTAAGAAGTGTGTATCATTAAATTTCTGAACTTTTTAAACATATTACGTACAGGACTTGATTCTTACCAAACAAATTTTCTCCATACACAATAATGTGTGACTTAAAATGTTATATTGTAAAACTTTATAAAACATAAATTGTTGTGTATGGAGAAAATTTATTGTATACGAATCACTTAGGTACATATCATTCACCAAAACACAATTTTTTTTTAAAAAAAAGCCTTATACCTTGAACTATCATTTAGTCGATAATTAATATTAGAATGCTCTTTCATCCATATCTTCATCATTATAATAACCTGGATAAAGATAACACAATCATCGGGTAATTAATATACAATACCATATCATGGAAACAAATTTAATTCCTTAAATAAAATTTTACATGTAGCACTTACATCGGAGGATACGTGGTGACTGTCCTCCAAAAAATTTTTGAATATTGTATACAGAATTAGGTAGAATAGAATCTTGAAAAAATATTTTACTACATAGAAGGGACTATCGTTTAGTCGATAGCTATAAATAAAACTAGAATTTTCTCTCATCCATAACCTTCTTGAAGTAACCTGGTCAAAGATAACAGCATGATCAACTGATTAATTTATAATTTATAATATTATAACAATGATTACAATTCTTTAAAATGTAAATTTACACGTGGCACTTACATGTTCAAAGGATAAGAAAAATAATCCGCGAGAGTGAGTGAGGTCCCGATAAATTGTGCATATTCTATGTAACTGTGGGATGCTGAGAATCTTGAAAAAAAAAATAGTGTCGGAGTTAAAAAAAAAATGAGAGTGTTATAGACCACATATGCATATTAGATTCCAATCACGTTTCTTTTTCTTTAAATAATGCAAAAGCATTCATCTCATATTTTTCGTTTAAAAACTATTATGTACTTTCAGTGGAGGAGACTATAATTTATTCTCATGAGCAATTTCACTATGTATCATATAATACCCTGCTTTTTGTATTTTGGTTAAAATCTTGGGACACATTAATCGCATCAATCTTGATTCATTCTGCAAGCTGAGCTAACCAAAGAATCAATCTTTATCAAGCCAATTTCTATAGTTAATGACATCTAATAGTTTTATGGCGTATTCCTCATCATTCAAATTCCTCATCATTCAAAAATATGGATAGAAGGAAATAGAGAACGAGAGAAGACATTTCTAAGACAGCTAATTTTGGTTAATTTAATGATCACTAGTATTAGACTAACATAGTTTATTGTCCTCATACTGTATTTACTTATTCTTTGAGGACTTTGTTGTAAATTTAACAACTATATAATGAGAGTAACTCCCATGGTCTATTCACTTGGAGATTAATCAATAATTTCATGGTATCAAGAGCCAATCTCCTCACTTCCTAACCGATCTCATTCATTTCTTCTCCTCTCTTCGGCTTCTCTTACCCCTCCCACCTCCCCTCTCATCGGTTTTGATCATCTCCTCCGCCACCCTCATGGCCAGCGCTTCCTCATCCGACGACTCCACCCTCCCCATGAACACAATCCTCCACCTTATCACCATATGTCTCTCCTCCACAAATAATTACTTGTTGTGGGTTAACACCTTCTTGGTCATGTTGACCGAACTTCTCAAGCCCCGCCATCCCACCATGTGGTTGATGATAAGCCCACCGTGATTCCGGCACATGCAGAGTGGTTAGCTGCCGATCAACGGGCCATTATTTTGCTTCAAGCTTCTCTCACCGAAGAGGCCTTTTCTGAAGTTATAGGTCTCTCATCCGCCCGTGCTATTTGGTCGATTTTGAAGGCCACTTTTGGGAACCCCTCCATGGAGCGGGTTCAGACTCTTTGCGACCAACTTCACCTCCTTACTAAAAGCACCGCCTATGTTTCCGAATATGGTCGAAAATTCAAAACTACTTCTGACCATCTTGCTGTCATTGATCATGCGGTTCATGAGTCGGACAAATCTCATTGGTTTTTGTGTGGACTTTGGGGGCACTTTTGAAAATTTTTCCACTTCCATTCCGGCGTCCCGCACTACCCAAAATTTTATAGACCTTCTTTCTCAAGCCGAAGGACACGAGTTGTTTCTCACTATGATCCATGGGACTTCGTTACCGGCATCGCTTTCTCTGCTGCCTCCGACGCTAATGCGTCCTCGGCCTTGGCGAGTGGTGGGTGAGGTCGTGGTGGTGGTGGCCACCGTGGCACTTGTGGTGGTCGTGGTCGCGGGCGTCGCCCTCCTCATTGTCAATTATGTTGCCAAAATAGCCATTATGCGAACTTGCTCCTGCAACTTTCTACTTTTGCCTCTCCGCCTCCCGCGAATGAATCGGACCTGGTGAAAGCATTCCTTGCAAAGTGTAATGTCAACAATTCCGGTCCGGATTGGTATGTTGATTCTAGTGTGTCCGACCATATGGTTTTCTCCTCGGCTTCGGTTAATCAACCCGAGCTGTTTGGTGGAGATGGCTTCGTTCACTTTGGCAATGACAACACCCTTCCTATCTATTCTATTGGATCCTCTTATCTTACTAATGGCATTCGTTTACGGGATGTTTTGGTGGATCCCCGCCACTCGAAAATCTTATTATCCATTAGTAATTTTACATATGATAATGATGTGGATGTTCTTTTCTCCAAATCTCCTTCTTATATTCACGATCGGGAAACGAAAAGGGTTCTAGCTCAAGGAAGGTGTAATCATGGCCTCTATGTTCTTTCCAATCAATTGGTTGCACGTGCGTTTTTACTAGTTGTGGATCCAAGGCTTCATTTGAATTGTGTCACTCTTATTTGGGGCATGTGTCGTTTGGCACTCTTTTTACTTTAAATAAACCTCGTCACATTTTTGTTTCTTCTATTTTGCCTTAGCCGATTATATGTTCATCGTGCCTACTTGCGAAATTGCACCGATTACCTTTTAATATTAATGATAAACGCGCCACTTGTGTATTGGATTTGGTGCATTCTGATCTTTGGTAACCCTCTCCGGTTACTTCGGTTGATTCATAACGGTATTATGTTATGTTTGTTGATGATTTCTCTCGGTTTACGTGGCTTTATCCACTTAAAACCAAATCCGACTTTTGTACTGGTTTTGAGATGTTTATAACCTTTGTGGAGAATCAATTCTCCTATAAAATTAAAACTTTTCAAAGTGATGGCGGTACGGAATTTGTAAACAATCATGTTAAAACATTATTATAAAAACACTGGATTTTTCATTAAATATCATGCCCATATACACCCCAACAAAATGGTCGGGTTGAGCGAAAACATTGTCGCATTGTGGAAACCGGACTTGCTACGATGTTTCATGGTCACATTCCGGCTCATTATTGGGTTCATGCTTTTAGTTTGGCCGTGTACACCATCAATCGCCTTCCCACCAAGGCGCTCTCTATGAAGTCCACGTTTGAGATGTTATTTAATCGGGTCCTCGCTTATGACATTTTTCAACCATTTGGGTGTCGGGTCTATCCGTATCTTCGTGATTACTCGGCTCACAAGTTCTCTCCTCGAAGCATCGCATGTATATTTATTGGGTATCATTCTCAACACAAAGGCTATCAATGCCTTGACGCAATCTCGTCTCATATTTTTATTACACATCATGCTCACTTTGATGAGGTCAATTTTCCCTTTGATGGATCTTCTACGGCGGCGCCTCTTGCCTCACTCTCGTTACATGAATTTCTTACGGACGTGCCGGTCACCCCGATCCCATCCTCGATTCCCATTGATAAACATAACACGTTTGCGACCTCCACATCAGCCCCTTATACCGTCTGCGCTGATCCTGCTCCGCCCACGCCATTGGTTCCCGCTATCTCGGTGCCCAAGCCGGCTCTCGAGCTCGCCCCCGCTACCAATCCTGAACCCGATCCCGACACTGGATCCGATCCCACACCCGATACCTGTCTGTGATTCTGATCCGACCTCACCAGATGAGAGTGTTCCTTCGGCTCCTGACCCTGCTCCCACCCCTGCTCCGTCTCATTCCATGATCATTAGGGGCAAAGCAGGAATATTTAAACCTCTCTATCGGGTTGATCTCACGCATGTTGCGCCTCGTGGTCTTTTGTCCGCTGTTCTCACTACTCCGGAGCCCGTCACCTATATCGATGACATGCGTGATCCTAAGTAGCATGAAGCTATGCGCTCCAAAATGCATGCTTTACATCATAATCAAACATGGACCTTGGTACCGCATTCTTCTTGTTCGAAGGTTGTTGGGTGTTGTTGATTATTTCACACTAAATTTCGGGTCGATGGTTCCATTGAACGCTATAAGGATCGGTTTGTGGCTCAAGGTTTTAGTCAAGTTTCGGGTCATGACTACTCTCACACTTTCAATCCAGTTGTCAAAGCTGCAACAGTTCGTGCTGTCCTCACTCTTGCTATCATTAATGGGTGGTCCTTACGACAACTTTATGTCAACAACGCTTTTTTACACGATACACTTGGGGATACGATTTTTATGCACCAACCGCCCGATTTTGTTTACCCGTGGTTCCCGGATCATGTTTGCAGACTCAACAAGGCTATGTATGGCCTGAACCAGGCCCCTCGGGCTTGGTTTCATCGATTGAGTTCTTTTTTGGTGGCAAATGGATTTTCTTGCAGTCTAGTAGATCCATCTCTTTTTATCTTTTGTTGTCATCAGTGCATTCTTTACTTATTGGTGTATATGGATGATTACTTATTGGTGTATGTGGATTATTTAATCCTCACCGGGTGCGACACCTCCGTTATGACTGCGTTTATTGATAAGTTTCACAATGAGTTCCGCATTAAAGATCTTGGGCGGTTGAACTATTTCCTTGGGCTTGAGGCGTCTTCCCTACCAACCAGTGTGTTTCTTAGCCAGGCTAAATATGATCATGATATTGTTTTACGTGCAGGTCTCATTGATGCGAAACATATGACCACCCCCTTGCTACGAGTGCCTCATTTGTGAGTGGTGGTCCTCTCTATGAGGATCCCACTCATTATCGTTCGTTGGTTGGCGCACTTCAATATTTGACGATTACACGACCGGATATTTCTTATGCTATCAATCAAGTAAATCAATTTCTTACTGCCCCGACTGTTGCTCACTTCCAGGCCGTGAAGCGGCTAATTCGATATGTCCAAGGCACTCTCACTTATGGTCTCACATTCTCGCGCCCATCATCCACTACCATTGTTGGTTATTCTGATGTTGATTGGGCTCTGATGTTGATTGGGCTCGTTGCCTTGATACTCGCCCCTCCACTTATGCATACTCGATATTCCTAGGGGTTAATCTTGTATCCTGGAGTGCTAAGAAGTAGCCTACGGTTTCTCGCTCCAGTTGTGAATCTGAATATCGAGCCATGACCAACACCGTTGTTGAACTCATGTGGCTCACGCCTTACGCATCTCCTTCGCGAATTGCATGCTTTGCCATCCGGTCGGCCTACTCTTCTTTGCGACAACCAAAGTGCATTGATTCTCACTCAGAATCTGGTCGCTCATAAACGCGCCAAACACATTGATCTCGATTACCACTATGTTCGTGAACTTGTGGCTTCCGGCAAACTCATCACTATGTTTGTTCCAACCAAACTTCAGGTAGCGGACATCTTCACGAAGATTCTTCCTCGGCAACAATTTGAGCAGTTTTGTTGCATGTTGCATCTTGGTCCTCCACCTTCCGATTGAGGGGGAATATTAGACTAACATAGTTTAATGTACTCTTATTGTATTTACTTATTCTTTGAGGTGTTTGTTGTAAATTTAACATCTATATAACGAGAATAACCCCCATGGTCTATTCACATGGAGTTTAATCAATAATTTCAACTAGCATCACATTTTCTTATTGGAATAATTACTGAGATGTTACAGATGTTACAAAGATCAACTTGGTTTGCCAGGCTGCAGGATTTCAATGTGATTCAAAATCCATGAGGACAATTGCATTGAGATAGAAATTTTAGTAGTGGGTCTTCCGATGTATGAGGAAAAAGAGACTTACAGGGCATAGATTGGTGATTTCATCGTAGGTTAACAAATGCTTGTTGTGTTTCACCTGAGTGTAATAAAAATACTAAGTAAGTTTGACACCTCTGGTATAACAATGAATCATTTATATATAATTTTGGTCGAAACTAAAAAAAGTTGTAAAAAGATTCATTTATTGGAGAGGGAAAAGAACTAGATTAGAACCTCCAGGGTACACCATAAAGCGGGGGAAACATACCAGAAACTCAACAGCTTGTCGAATATGCTTCAGTTCATCCCAAGCTAAGCCAGCATACTGTCACATAAAATATATTTGTTAGATCGTCCTAAATGCCCAAATACATCTTAGCTGATTGCATTAACAAAGAGTTACTTGAACATTTAGAACTTGATCTTTAGATGTTTTGGTTGTTTTGGTATACATAAATATTCATAAATAATCTGGATAAAGAATAGATATTTAACATTTCTTCAACTCTTCAAATCATAAATGATGTGGCGGCTATGATTTTTCACGATATTAAAATTCCCAACCCTAACGTATATGATATTCCCAACCACAAGCAAGTACATTCGTTTTTTCGGACAAATGGACCATTTCTGAAATATTTAGCAAAAACCATCACCTTTCCTTGTGACTGACTACACCATAGCTCCAGCTCTGCCAAACCGACTTTCACAAATTCCCCATTTCTGAAGGAACAATACTCCCAACGCCAAAGAAGACTACATAGTGCATATAAAATATTAATTAAAAATAATGTAGGAAACCATGGTACTGAAAGGAAAAAAGAAGAAGCTAAAATTAACTAGACAAACACCTATTAAAGAGCTGCACATTAATATATGAGAAAACTTGAGCTAATATCCTCTGAACAACTATAGGAGCCACCTGAAATATAATTATATATGAGAAAATCATGAAGAAGAAAAATTACTTTCCGAACAATTAGGTTGTTTATAGAACTTAAGTGATCACGACTGGAATCATTATATCCATGTTTATTAATTAATGAAATATTTTTTTTTCTTCTTGCTTCAAAACGAATTGCAACAATCATAAATATCATATAAACTAAAGGAGAAACGTGAGGTTCTAGATAAAGGTCGTACATAATTTTTTTTCATTGTGCTTAGAAAAGTGTTAAGGCGATCAAGAATCCCATGCCAATCACTGAATCGATAATCTTCATGAAAGGATCTTTTAGAACTAGTTGGTTCCTGGAACATTCGTGGCTCCTGAATTTAAAAATTAATGTCAATATGCAAAGTAAACAACATATATATATATATATATATATATATATATATATAGATATATATATATATATATATATATATATATATATATATATATATGGTGAGGTTCAATAGAGAACCATAATTAACCAAGGAACCAATGAACCAATTTTTTTTTCAACTTTTAGAAATTATTTTTTATCAAAAAAAAAAAACAAAAAATACAGAAATTAATAACTTTTTATCCTTTTTCCAATGATATCAAATTCGAATTTTTTTTTACGTCAAATTCACAATGTGAATCCGGATTCACACGGTGAATCCGAAATATATTTTTCTCATTCACAATGTTAATATATTAATTTTGATATTTTTAGATTTTTTTTCGATAAAGAATAAGCTCTAAAATTGAAAAAAAAAATTTGGTTCCTTGATTAACCAATAATTATAGTTTTCTATTGAACTTTTCCATATATACATATATATATATATATATATATAATATATATATATATATATATATATATATATATATAGAGAGAGAGAGAGAGAGAGAGAGAAAGAGAGAGAGAGATAGAGAGAGAGAGAGACAGTTAGGTTCATGTGAGACGACCTAATTTTGTGAGACCGTGAGACGCAATCGTAGCCACTAATTTGGTAGTTAAAAAAAATATTTTTAAAATTCAAAAACATTGAAAATTTTTGAAAAAAAATCGTCAAATATTATTTTCGGAATTTATATTTTCCAAAAAAAATAAAAAATACAAAAAAAATAAAATATAAATAAATAAAAAAATGTTTTTTTACATATTCTAGTAAAATAATAGAATATTCTACATATCTGACAAATCTAGTAGAATATTCTAACATTCTAAAAACCACATTAGAATATTTACAGTGTAATATTCAATTAGAATATTTCACGAATTTTTCAAAAATAACCGTAATTTTTTTTATTAATTTTTTTAATAGATGTTTTTAGGTAATTAAAGTGACGAAAATAATAATTAACAAAAGAATTTTCGGATTTTTCTATTTATTTTGCATTTTTTAATTATTTTTAGATTTGGTCTCACGGTTTCACAAAATTAGCATGCTCTCAAATGAACTTGAATATATATATATATATATATATATATATATATATATATATATATGAAGTAAGTTCAAATAAAAACATTAAATAGTGTGAAAATATAAAAACATTATGTTTTTGTTATTATTCTGCCATTAATGTTGTATATGTGTATTGCTAAAGTAATTCTAATATGAATATTAATGTTTGATTATTCATATATTCATTAAAATGTTATTATTCTATTATAAATTTATTTATATGAATTGTATAGTAAATTCTAAACTTAGTTTTAACCTGTGACTATTCATTTATTCATTGTTGAATAATGACATAAAGTTATGCATACAAAATTCATTACAGAATAATAATATAAAAGTAGTATTTTTACCTTTTCACACTATTTACAGTTATTATTTGAACTATTCTCATATATATATATATATATATATATATATATATATATATATATATATATATATATATATATATATATTTAGTGTTAGATTATTGTGTTCTAACTATCTATTGTGTGCATGTTGGATTGATTGTGGAACAATCATTTTTGTTATTTTAAGAAAGTAATTAAAGCATTTTACATGTTGAATATATAATGAGTATTAATTAAATCTTAGCATTTTATATGCGTTAATTACTTTCTTAAAATAACTAAAATGATTGGTTCAGAATCAATTCTACATGCACACAATAGATAGTAGAAACATTTGAATCTAACTATATATATATATATATATATATATATATATATATATATATATATATATATAGATATATATATATATATATATATATATATATATATATATATATATATATATGGGAAAACTGAATATATACATTACAGCCCCACCTAAGCTTAGGTACTAAACCTCATGAAAATACGTCATTTTACTATATAAAGATTGCGGTTAGGGGACTCATGATTAACACTTGAAGATGTAGATTCAAAATCAACGCGATAGTTTTGATTAGGAAGCAAGAATATTGATTGTCTTCGACCTTCGTGACAGTAAGAAAAAGAAATGTTCACTAGGGTAAAGTAATAAACGATAATGGAGGAAAGAAAACACGGATGGTAAAACGATAATTGAGGATGGTACATTTAACAAGTGAAAACCAAATCGGGTATATTTACTAAGTTAAAATGACATATTCTCTATGTTTTTGATATCTCGTAGTATTTTTTTTTTATATATTTCTATTGGATTTTTAGGGTTTTTAAGGGTTTACTTTCATTCGTTTTCTATTGAATCCCACAATATATATATATATATATATATATATATATATATATATATATATATATATATATATATATTTGTTTTGATCCTGAAAGAGGATGTCATCATATTTTTGATGCTCTGATCCAACCAAGCGTTCGATTTTATCTAACTATTCTTTGAAAATTTGTAAAGGTAAACTACAATTGTTTTCTATGTAATGTGCATGTACGATTATGATGGTTCAACTCACGCCCATAAATTAAAAGATGTGGAAGCCAAGGATGGAAGATATGATGAAGATGAAGGATTTTGTAGATCATTTAAGAAAGAAATGAAGTAAACATGACATGACGATGTACAGATTTTTAATGAGAATAAATAAGAAAATGATAGTGTAATTTTGATAGTGGATCGTCTACCATGTTTTGAAATATATCAATAAACAAAGAGGCGCGTACATACTCTTTATGAATCCCAAGAGTATGTATAATCATCAACGACACAAAAAAAGTCCTTGTTGCTGCGACATCTTGTTAACCACATGTTATAGACGGGTACTTCTATAAAGAAGCATACGGTTTATTTGTTAAAGATTGGGAATAATCTATATTATTAATGAGTTTTCTAGTGATCATTACGAGAAGCTTATTTTCACTCTCAATAATTCTTCTCATGTGGAAAACTAACAATAGAGATAGTCATAAATGGCTTAATAAATGAGGAAGATAGAAAGAAAGAAGTTGGTACAGACCATTCACTTGCCTTTGTTTCAGTAAATAAAGAAAGAAAAGGAGGTAGAACTAGAGGTACAAGTCGTGGTAAAGATAGAGGCTACCATGGTTATAATAAAGAAAGATCCTAAGTTTGAGGGAGATTAGGAGAGAGAGGAAAATCTAGAATAATACATGGTTGGCAACTATTGCAACCATTGTGTTTATTATGCCCCCCAAAAGAATGATCCTTGAATATTTTTATATGAACAACCCGAAACAAGCCAAGGTCAAGCAAGGTGGATGGTGAAACGATGGTCACCATATCACAAGACAGTGTGCGTGATGCATATGAAAATGAAGTATGTCTACATGTAACTGCTCATGATGACGATTGGGTTATTGATACCGCTGCATCATATCATGACACTCCAAATCAGTATTTTTTCACTACTAATAAACTTGAAGATCATAACATTTTGAAGATATGAAACACCAGTTCTTTGAGCATTGTTTGAATTGTTGGTGTGCATATAAAACCAATATAGGATGTGCACTAATACTGAAATATGTTTGCATATCCTAGAGCTACAAATGGATATTATCTCAGTTAGAACCCTTGACTTACGAGGCTATAATAATGAATTCGGATATGACACTTGGAAGTTTTTAAAAGGTGTTAGGGTCATTTCAAGGGGAAATTCTTTAGGTAAACTTTTGTAAGACTCGTGTAAAGTTGCTTTAACCAAGTCCCAATGTTGTGGAATAAGAGGCATTAACAAAGTTATGGAAAAAAATATTACGACACACGAGCATGAAGGGATTGACACCTCTTTAAAAATAAAGATTAAATTTCAATTGAAAATATATTGCCTTGGATCCATGAAAATACTTCCTTTTTAGGGAACTACATATAGTTTCCTTTAACTCCATAAGAAATTACTGATCCAAGTTGATAAACCTTACCCACTCTAATGTGTGTGGACCCATTAAAGTAGAATCTATTGATAAAAGTAGGTAACTGGTTACATTCATCGACAATCCATCTTGAAATGTGTAAAGATTATTATCTGAAGTTGAAGTACTAAGTCTTGGAACATTTCAAAGTTTTAATGCAACTATCGAAACACAAACAAGCTAGCAGATGAAATGGCTCTGATCAGATTATGGAGGTGAGTAATATTCCCATAAGGTCTCTAGATATTACATCGAACCTATTATTAGGCATGACACAAGCCTTAAAAAACGTAAAACATAATGGTGTAACAGAATGGATAAATGACGCCATTATTGAGAAGGTTTGATGCGGGCTTACCATGGAAAAACTGTAAACAACTATTGTCAGGGGAAGCTGAATTGACAACTTGTTATCCAATAAATAGGTTACATTCATTTATACAGAATTTTGATGTTTCAAAGAAGATATGGATGGGTAAAGATATATCATATTCTTACTTAAGAGTATTTGGGTACAAGGAATTTTCTCATGTGTAATACGAATTGCGGAAGAAGATAGACCTCAAACACACTCCATGCGTCTTTATTAGATACATAGGTCAAGAGTTCGAGTATAGAATATGAGACACAAAACTAAAGAAGGCTATTCAAAGTTAAGATGTGATTTTTTGTGAAAAACAATATTATAAATTCAATACATGAAATGGAAGACGAGGTTGCTATTAAAGAAGAGGATGATGAAGTTAATAATGCAGATAAAGAAGGTTTTGAGCAGGGGGTTTCCACCCATATATACTTTAGATCAATTTACATATGTTGTAAATGAATTAAGTCAAGTTTGACGATCCGAACAAGTTTGTGTTATGACACAAGTTATACTACTCCAAAATATATCCTTCTTACAAGCGAAAGGGAACCTGGGATATTTCAGGAAGCTCAATATCACATGAAGAAGGCAACTGGAAGAATGCCATGGAAGAAGAAATGAGTTCCTTGAAAAAGAGTCAAACATATATGTTGTTAAAGCTTTCTAGAGGAAAGAAGGCCTTAAAAACAAATGAGTTTTCAAGTATAAAACAAGACTCATTGTCAAAGGGTTCCAACAGAAGGAGGGAATTGACTTCGATGTAATTTTTTTTACTGGTAGTGAAGATGATGTATATTCGAGTTGTACTTGGATTGGTTGACCGTTTTTATCTTTAACCTGAGCAGATGGATGCAAAAACAACCTTTTCTCCATGGTAATTTCAAGAAAATATATGTATAACAGCATGCTCGTTTTCATGCCATAAACAAAGAGATCTTGTAAGTAATTTGAAGAAGAGTGCTTATAGTCTTAAGCAACCCTCAAGAAAATGGTAAAGAGGTTTGACTCATTCATGGTAAGTCATAAATACAAAAAAACTGTTGCATACCACTGTACATACCTGTACCGGAAGAAGTTTTCAGATGGGAATTTTGTCATCCTTTTGTTTCATGTGGATAGTATGTTAATAATGAGCAAAGTTGCAACCATGATCGAAAACTCGGAGTAGGATTTGTTTAAGTTATTTGATATAAAACTTAGGTTTAACGCAACAAATATTAGGCATGAAAATTATTCGTGATAAATTATCAAGATTTTTTTTGAACGTACGATGAAAGAAGTCCCTTACTCTGCAACCATCATAAGTCTTTATATATGCAATAATGTGTCCAAGACAAAATATTTCTCACGTTGTTGGTGTTGTGAGTTGATATTTATCAGATCCAAGAAACAACACTAAGAAGTAGTCAACTTGAAATTTTGATACCTAACGGGTAGTTAAAAAATATGTTTGTTCTATGGGATATCAAAGACAATCTTGAAAGGTTATAAGCATGATGATATGTAAGGATACTTTGATATGGAAAATCTACATCAAGTTACATTTTTCATTTGGGGGGGGGATCTATCTTGTGGCAATCCAAGTAAAAGTGTATACAATTGTCTACAAAAAAGAGCCAAATATATTGTTACAATTGAAGTTAGGAATGCACTTATATGGCTAAAATGGTTTATTTGGGAATTATGGCATCCACAACAAGGGTAGATCATGCATTGTGATATTCAGAGTGTAATGGACCTAGGCAACAAATCAATGTACCATTCCGGCACAAAACATATTGATTTCTATTATCATTAGCTTAAAGAAGAAATTGGGGGAGGAGAATTGAAGTGGTTAAAGATCAACACAAATAAAAATCATGCATACATGTTGACTAAGCTGGGGACATTGGAGAAAGATAAATTATGTGTCGGCATAGTTTTATTGAGGATTGTTGGACAAAGATTAGCGGGAGAATTTGTTGTGTTCCAACCTTCAAAAGATAACCTAGTATGATAACTTCTTCTCTCCTTATGATGAACACATTAAATTATGGTTGTTTAAATTATAAAAGGAAACCTCAGTTGTAAGTAATCCCAAAAACACAAAAGTTAGAGCAGAACACTTTGAGTGACATTTAGAAAAGAAGATTGTAGTTTTGTAATAGTTGAGAGTGAGAGTTGTCCTTTATTGTAATGCTATTCTAGTATTAAATATAAAAAATTTCAATACCAACAAGGATGAATCAGAATTCAAGTACCTGAATAGCCGATGCAAGTAATACTCGCAACTCTATCTTCATGGCATCACAAATAATGTCACACATATACTCGAGATATTTTGTTAGTTGATCCTTGATAAGTAGCACTTGGTTTTTTGACTTGAACTTGATGTAAAATTTCATCATCAGCCTCAACAAGATGGACAGTAGGATGAACTAAATTAGTTAATATAAAAATATCAAACCATATCATACATAAATATCTATCGATAATAGTAAAAATCTATACCGTTATCATTTCTCTTAGTAGGAAAGTTGAAGGTGGTGGTTCCTGAACTGAACTTGCACCATCAAGTTTTAGACTTTTTTGGATTAAGAATAATAAATTATATGCACATGATAACCAATACGCCATCCTCGGATTGGATTTTTGATACTGCAACGTAACACACTGAACCGTCAACAGAATACAGTTTGGTGGGTCTTCTGCGGTGATAGCTTGTTGGTTTTTGGCGATATAAACAAGTGAATAAAGCAGAGTACAAGACGACAGAATGAGGAAATGCTTTACTGTTTTATTGAATACTTCATAAAGATGGGGGATTACAATATTGGGCATATTGCCTTGCTACTTAAACAAAAACCAATGCATGAAAAACGGAAACTGATAAACTACATACTAAAGACCAGGAGTTCACACCTCACGTGCCTTTGATTTATTCAACCTAATAACAGCTAAATAAAGACCCAAATAAACATGTGCTAACTAAAAATAACCGACATATTTCTGAATTACGTTAACATTTTCCCCCGTAATTCAGAAATTCATACCTTCACCACTCCAACAAGATTTCTAATCTCTTCAAATTTCACCCTTGTTAATGGCTTAGTCAGCATATATGCTTTTTGCTCCTTTGTACTGACATGAGTAACCGTTATCTCCCCATTTTCAACACATTCTTTGATGAAATGGTACTTGATGTCTATGTGTTTACTTCTCCCACGAAACACAGGGTTTTTCATGAGATCAAGCGCAGACCTATTATCAACGAACATTGCTATTGGAGGTATTGCTTGACCTAAAATGATGGATAGAAGCCGCCTTAACCAAATTCCTTGACAAGTAGTCATTGTGGCAGCCATAAATTCAGTTTCACATGAGGATAAAGCCACACATATTTTCTTCTGTGAAGCCAACGTGACCAAGTTACCATTCAAATAATACGTCATCCCACCTGTGCTCCTTCTATCACTCTCATCTTTTGCATGATCACTATCTGAATACCCTACAATAGTGATCTATTCTTGTCCCCTTTTGTAGACTAGCCCATAATATGTGGCACCTTTAATGTACCAAAGTATTCCCTATACTGCCTGAAGGTTTTTCATAGTAGGTTTCTCCATAAAACGACTGACTACACCAACTAAAAATGTGATATTTGGATAAGTATGTGTTAAATACCTGAGTCCACCCACTATACTCTTGTATTCAGTGGGGTTGACAAGTTCTCTTTCTTCATCTTTGGAGAAGTTTATCTTGTGTTCCATGGGGCTTTTGGTGGGGTTGCAGGCTAGCATCTGAGTCTTAGCTAGAAGATTTTTGGCATATGTTTCTTGTCTCAGAGTAATGCAATTCTCCTGCTGATTTACTTCTATTCCAAAATAATACGCCAATAATCCAAGGTCGCTCATTTCAAACCTTTCATTCATCTTTAGTTTGAACTTCTTCACATCATCTTGACAGCTCCCTGTAACCATCAAGTTGTCGACATATACCCCAACAATCAGGGTATTCCCTTCTTTCTTCCTAATGTACACTGAATACTCTTGTGCACACCTTTTGAAATCCAAGCTCTTTAGATACTTGTCAACGCAACCATTCCAGGACCTGGGTGCCTGTTTTAAACCATACAATGCCTTTGACAATTTATACACCTTGTTCGTTTCTCCTTTCTTCTCGAAGCCCTCCGGTTGAGACACATAGACCTCTTCTTCTAATTTCACATTCAGGAATGCAGACCTCACATCGAGGTAGTGTACATGCCACCTAGATGAGGCTTGAAGAGCAATGATAACACGTACCGTTTCTATTCTCGCCACTGGTGCGAACACTTCCTCAAAGTCGATCCCCTGTTTCTGAACATATCCTTTTGCCACAATTCTCGCCTTGTGCTTCACAATTTTCCCAGTTGGATCTCGTTTGACTTTAAACACCCACTTCAGCCCAATTGGTTTGCGACCAGTTGGTAGTTCGACGAGATCCCACATGTTGTTCTTTTCGATCGAAGTCAACTCGGCCTTCATCTCATCCACCCAATTTGGATTTTGCTTTGTCTCTTGATACGACAAGGGTTCTTCGTCGTTGAGGCATCATCAGGAGCTCCTCCATGGGTATTTAAATTTCTTCTGTAATTTCGTACAGATCTGTGAGCATTCGGAAACGCTTTGGGGCACCACCACCTGTGGAACTTGAAGTTGTACTCGGGGTTGACGTCGGATTCGGAGAATTGGAGTTAACTGGCGAATTGGGTGTACCCGGTGGCGTATTTCAGGGTGTGGAATGTGGACTCGGGTCGGACTGTGGGCTATTGGACTGAGGGGATTTGGCCCAATAAGTATTGTTCTGTGGCGACCCAATTCCTTGGTTCGTCGTATCTGGAACCCATTCGTCATCTTCATTGTAAAGCTCATTGTCGAAGTCAAAGCCTTCAAAATTGAAGATCATTCATGGTATTAATTTAATCTTCGTTGTTTTCTCCCACGCCCATGTTTTATCTTCTTTGAACACGACATTTCGACTGACATACACCTTTCTTGTAGATGAACAACACGTTTGCTTCTTTCATCCAATTTCTTTGGATGATTCTTGGAAATCATCATGTGCGCTAAGCAACCGAAAACTATGAGGTGACTTAGATTTGGCTTTCGACCAGACCACATTTCGTACAGTGTTGATTCCTTTACAACTTTTGTACTGACTTTGTTTAGCACATACACCGCGTGATTCACCGCTTTTCCCCATAATATGTCTGGTATACTGATGGCTTTTAAATTACTCTTCACCATTTCCAAAACGGTTCTATTCCTTCTCTCTACTACACCATTTTGCTGTGTCGAATATGGGGAAGTGTAGTGACGTTCAAGCCCTGTTTCATTGCAATACATGGTGAATTGGTTAGAGAGAAACTCCTATCCGTGATCGGTTCTGAACACCTTCATCTTCTCACCTGTTTCCACTTCAACCTTCATCCTGAAGTTCTTGAATGTTTGAAAGGCTTCATCTTTTGTCTTCAGTAGATAAACCCACATAACTCTACTGAAATCGTCTACCAAAAGCATAAAGTACCGGTTACCTGCAGGTGTGGGAGGTGATATCGGTCCACATAGATCTCCATGAATAAGTTCAAGCCTTTTCTTTGCCATGTAATTGGTATGAGGCGGATAGGGACTTCGAGTTTGTTTCCCTACCAGACAGTCTTGACACCGTTGAGAGGGGATGCTAATCTTTGACATTCCTTCGACTAAGTTTCTTTCAGTCATAAGTTTGAGTGTGGTGAAATTAACATGGCCTAATCGAGCATGCCAGAGCCATGAGGGATCTCTAATTTCAGCCATTAAGCTAGTGGGCCTTACCTCCTCCAACACGATCTTGTAGAGACGATTCATGGATTTTTGAACTTTCATCAATAATCGCCCGGCTGCATCATGCACCCATAAATACGGATCCTTAATTCTGATGTCCTCTCCTCCTTCCGATAATTGTCCTAGACTTATGATATTGCTACATAAGTCGGGTATATAATACACCTCGAGGAGCCTTCTCTGTTCACCATTTTTGCACCGGAAAACAATGGACCCTCTGCCTTCGATTTTTACTCTAGATTCATTTCCAAACTTCACAAAGCCTTGGATTTTTTCGGTCTAGATTACAAACCTTAGTCTTATTGCCTGTCATGTAATTGCTTGCTCCAGTATCAAGATACCATACCTTAGACTGGTTTGAATCTCCTCCCTTTGATCTTAACTTTAGCTTCACACTTTCTTCATTCAAGAATACTTCAACGTATTCTATTTTCTTTTCGAGGGACGACAATAACAGAGCAGGTTCATTGTCTTCTTGAATCAAGTTGTTTTCTTGATTCCTCTCCTTTCTTAGGCTCTTACACTCGGTTGCGTAATGCCCAAAATCCTGCCAGTTATAGCATTGTATCCCACTTTTGTCTTGGCTACCGGATGCACTTTTACTCCCTTCTCGTTGTTGGTGTGAGCTACCCCTTCCACGACCACCATGTCCATCGCTGTTTCGACCTCTTCCTCTGCCTCGTCCTCGTGAACCTCCAAATCCTCCTCGATTCGACTTAGATTTGGAGTCACCTTCTCCCTTTTTCTTGGTTCTTTCTGACCACTCTTGATGAGTCAAAAGAAGTTTTCGATCATCACTGTCTCCATGCCCTTTCATTCTCTCTTCTTGAGCTTTTAATCAAACCTATTACTTCTTCCACACTCATCTTGTCCAAGTCCCTAAATTGCTCAAGAGCTGAGGCAATTTAAAGAAACTTCGATGACACTGCCCTGAGTAAATTCTTCACCATATAGCCCTCATCTACAGTTTCTCCCAAATTGCGCATGGTGCTGACGACATTGGTTACCTTCGCGGCAAAATCATCAACACTTTCTGTCTCCTTCATAATCATAGCCTCAAACTCAACTTTCAGGGTCTGAACTCTTGCAGTCTTCACTCTATCTGCCCCTACGAACATATTTTTAGAGCTTCCCATGTCTCTTTGGCCGATTTCTTTTCAGACAGCGACATCACAAACTCTTTAGGGATTCCTTGGTAAATGACTGCCAGTGCCAGCTTGTCATTCTTCACCTCCACCACCGTGTTGGCTGTTCGAGGCTCAACAGCATCCCATACACCATGGGCTTGCATGAACACACGCATTTTGATTGCCCATGCCCCGTAATTACTCCTGGATAACATCGGATAGTGGAGGGTAATTTGTCCGTCTTTTTCACCATTGCCATTGCTTCCTGACATCTCTTCACGAGACTGATACTTGGGCATACACCAGGTTCCGCTCTGATACCAAGTGTTGGTTTTTGGCGATATAAACAAGTGAATTAAGCAGAGTACAAGACGACAGAATGAGGCAAATGCTTTACTGTTTTATTGAATACTTTATGAAGATGGGGGATTACAATACTGCGCATATTGCCTTGCTACTTAAACATAAACCAATGCATGAAACACGGAAACTGATCAACTACATACTAAAGACGAGGAGCTCACACCTCACGTGCCTTTGATTTATTCAACCTAATAACAGCTAAGACTCAAATAAACATGTGCTAACTAAAAATAACCGACATATTTCTGAATTACTTTAACATAGCTAATGTTTTTGACAATCTGGAAGCTCTAATGCTCATGTCATATGGTACCACATTTGGGCAATCTGGACGTTTAGGGACAAGATTGTTTTTTGCATTCCTAAATCAAAACCAGGAGAGCTGTTTGATTGGGTTGTCTGTCATTCATTCATTCGGATTTTTACTATAAAGCATAGATGTAAACATAACTGGACTAAGTGGTTTAAAAACCCTCAAATTGTTATAAACCTTATGTAATCCCCCTGATTTTTTTTTTCATGCTTTAGAAATTTTTTTGATGATTCGTTGCTAAAAAATAGTTATATTAGAAATATTTTTATTTTTGACGTTAACTTCAAATTAAATAGAGTGAAGGAATAGTAAGATCAAATAAAAAAATATATGTCAATGTCGTTATAGTTATGCTTTCACGTTCCTAGGTGAAAGGGCTAAGAATTCTTTCATGTATCCTTCTTTGAGTCAACATGACTAGATCAATTACTGTAATGAGTTAATGCCTTGACATAGCTTGATTTCTAAAAAGTGTTTTGTTTACCATTGAAGTACCTTATTTTCTGAAACAAATATCTGAAAGAGTCGTTCCAACACCATTGTTTTTTCAGCTTCAATATAATTCCGATGGAGAAGCAATTTGTATATGGTAAACGCTGGAACAGGTTTTCCATGATTAAATCCACTGTCCTTCTCAATACTCTCAAAAAAGGCAGAAACATTTTCCTGCAACTATATTCGAAATAATGTCAACATTTTTGTATTTGAATACTTCCTGAAACCTACTACTTGAAAAGCGCACAAAAAAAAAAAAAAAAAGAAGAACCGAGTTTGAGAATGGGAGACATTTAGTGCCTTTGTTGGTCGTCCTCGATCTATAAATGGAAAATGGATAGTATCTACTCAAACCTTCTTAAAAAGAATGTTCGATACAATAATATTCGCATAGAATTAAACGAAAATTTTGTTGCACGACTTGTGATATTTTTCATTCTTGCATATGAATCAAGATTTCTTTCAAAATAATTACAAGAAATCACTTACTTGAATATCCAATGCTTCCTGGATCTTCTTCATCACCATGTCTAACGCAGGTCGTTTCTTAAAATCATAACTAATACACTGCCATGCAATTTTTTTAAACGTATCAAAGGAACGACTACTAATTTGATCATTTATGTCGGGATCAATTAATTTGTCTAGTTCCTTGGGATAGTATTTTCGAACCAACTTTATGAGAGAGTCAGTCTTATCCTCTCCGATTCTCCGTGGACGATAAACCAGCATCCCAGTGAGCATTTCAAACAGTACCACACCTAAGGAGTATATGTCCGACTCTTTACGGAGGATGCGGCTTTCAATGTAAGTGGGATCTATGTAATACTGGGTACCCGCAACCTTTGTATATATATGGGTAATTGTCTGACTTTTGGGACCTGATTTTGACAAGCCAAAATCACAAATTTTTGCAACCATATTGTCATCTAACAGAATATTTGCACTCTTGATGTCTCGGTGAATTACGCTTTTATGCTCCCCACGACCCGCATGAAGATAATTGAGACCGCTAGCTGCCTCTAGGGAAATCTTCAGCCTCTGTATCCATGTTAAGCAACACATCTTATTTTGATCTTTGAGATGATGGTCAAGGCTTCCATTGGTTGCATACTCACAAACTATAATCATCTCATTTTCTTCATCACAATAACCAACGAAAGAGATGATGTTTTCATGGTGGAAACCGGAAATCTTCTCGACCTCGTTGCGGAACTCGCGCTCCCCTTGGTAGCCATCCTTAGCTAGGCGTTTGATAGCAACTATGCGATTTTGCCAGTGTTTTGAGAGTTGTCCTCTGTAGACATAACCAAATCCACCACCTCCAATACATCTTTGTGGATTGAAGTTGTCGGTGGCAAGATTGATCTCCTCCAAAGGAATTGAATAATTTTCAAGGTTTAGCAATGAAGAAGCCATTGTCTTATAATTTTGGTGAGGAAGGCTGGTTATGGTAGAAGCATCCACTGGCTGTCAATAATATAGAATGGACTTTGCTTACAGGCACTACTTAATTGTCATGGCTTTTTTCAAATTTCAACTCCTGCAAAATTAAAATATTCTAAGAAGATATAGTGAATATTTGGAGAAATTAATGTTCACTTATTATAATATTGCCCATGGTTTCCTTTTAATTTTTCAAGTCCTTAAAAATTATAAACATTTTAAGATTATGTGAAGAATATTTGTTCACATCTCTTCCGTTTTCGGGTTCATTTGGATTTTTGTAAATATTTTTCTGAAATTGAACTTCTTTAAAATTGAACTTCTTTTAACGATATGAACATTAAAAATAAAATAATATTTTATGGTATAAAAGAAGTGTCACTAAAATACAGGAAATGTCAGAAAAGGTCTTAAAGTTTGCAATAAAAAGGAGTTAATGGGCTTTTCAATAACGTATTTTTTTATGGAACCCAAGACTTTCACTTCAGGCTCGATCACATGGATCACATGTTAGGTTCTTTATTATATGGTATAGTAAACATTTTTATCTTTAGTTTTTTTTTAAAATATATTAAAAGTATGTTAATATTTTATTTAGAAGTATAAGTATATGTTACGTTTTTAAAAGTATATAGATAATCCTTTTTAAAGTATAAATATAAATACTACTATGTTTTTTAAAAATATAATTATAACTTTTAGGGTTAATGACCTAGAAAGGTAACGTATTTTAAGGTTGTCAATATTAAGGTTATATTAAGGTAACTATGTTTTTTTCGTATAAATTTGACAATTGAAATTGTTTGATCGGTTCAAATTAAAATAATATGACCGGTAATCGTAGGTTTAAGTTGATTTGGCATGTTACATGACATATTCAACCTCTACTCATTACTTATTAAGCCCAATGGTTATGATTACGTATTCTATTATTGACATTATTGATACAAAATTTCATGTTATCTAGTGATTCACGATTTAACAACTTCAAGTCAATGCTCGCTTTCACTTCATTTCGTATGAATTTTGAATCGACTGAACTAATTTGTTATTGAATTACAAAAAAAAATTCTCAAGTTACCGGTTCTCGAGTTGTTTTCATGTTTCCAGTTCTTCGATCGAGTTCTGATTTGAATTTTAATGCATTATGTGCATTCAATCTGGGTCCTTTTCATTGTTCATTTTGCTAATGAACATCTAAGAACTTGATGAACGTGCTTGATAACATGATTTTGATCTGAAAACGATATGTAGGTTGTTGATTTGAAGAAACTTGTCATATGGAAATCGATTTGGAGATATCCGAGATTAATGGTGAATATCAATGGTGAATCGATTTCTGAAAATTCAATTTGATTTTGCTTATGAACAATAATGAACATGATTTTAGATGTACAAACAAGTAAGTATATTTTTTTGGCATATAAACACGTTTTTATATATAAATACATTTTTTTGAATTAATACATATAATATGAAAAAACTAGTTAGGATAAAACATAAACGAATATAAACTTGAGGATTTCCTTCAGAATCCTCTCTTTTAATAAAAACTCTTGTATCTGCCACATGTCCAAATTTTAGACCTTCATTTTGCCACATGTCACTATTATATACCATCGTTAAATGTTTTTCCCGCTCAAATGTTTTGGCTTGCTGTGTTGTATCTAATTTTAATCTTGCAACTAATCAATCCCAAAATATCAGAAACGAATTTATTTATTTCCATTCTAAATATGATTCCTCAAAATACTTGTCTTTATTTTCACGTTTTCTTGCAACGGCGGTTGATTTAATCATCACGTTCATACATGAGGCTGAAGATGGTGTTCTACGATTTTGGATGAAAAGTCATTTTATTTTGTTTTTAATTTCGGTCTTTTACTGACGGTTTAGGTCGTTGGCTTTTGTGAGGAAGATTTGCAACCATGAAAGGCTGAAGTGATTTCTAGGTATCATTCTGCTATGTACAATCGCATGTGATCATTCTTTTACGCAGTTGATCGATATATTTGTTTCCGGAATGTGCCTGGAAGTTTGTTTTTGCGATGATCAGTTTTAGAGTTCATTTTTCCCTGCCCACAAGGGGGGTCCAGATGCACCGGAGACACCAAGATCGCTTTTTTACAGGTTCTCGATCTTTATAATTTTTCTTTTTCGTTCTAATGTTTTGGGAATTGGGATTTAACTGGAGTAAATTCATCTTTTTTTTTCTAGGATTTTCAGTGGTGAGTTTGATCCTTCTTACTGCTAACATTTATTTAGTTTGCTTTATATCTGTGTAAATTTTATGTAAATTAAGTTAGTAGATTAACTGTCGTTGAAATACTTAAATGTATGATAAACGTTTTAAGTTTGTAGATTAATGATTTAACATATTCATCGTGTTTTCTTGCTATTTTAATGATTTCTCGCTTGTATGAAAATAAATAAAGATTTTCATGGCTACAAGTTTTATGCTATTTCTGAAAATATGCTAAAAAGTTCTTTTTTATGCTATTTTTAACCATGAGATTTAATTGAGAAGATTATTGAAAGTTTCATAGTATCTATGATAAATAATTTAAAAAGTTATTTTTTTGGTTAACATGTTACTTGTTTTGTTATTTTTTTGAAACATTTTACATGCTAATAAATGTTATCTTAATACTTCGGTATTTACTTGTGCATATATTTATTGGACATAGGTGACTCTTATGAGTTCAAATGTCTTGAAAATTTTGTTTTATTTTGAATCTAACCATCCATGTAATGAAATACATAAAAAAGAGGGATGCAACCGGAATGAAATACACATCTATCATCTACCACATTGCCCTTTCTATTGATTATCTAATTTTCTCTTTACCATGTTTAATATGTATGCAAAGTTAATCCTGTATTTTCATAAGTAAAGATTTTATACGATTTTACTATTATAACCCTTTTGGAAATATCATTAAAAACATTTTATAGCATTGTAATCTCATAATCATTTTACAACATTTTATCTTATTATATCCTAAAAAAAGTTTTTTGGAAAAAATAAGAAATATAATATCAATTATAGCTAGCATTCTACTTTAATAAACTAACGTTCATACTTGGTACGATACTGATAGCATTGTACTTTGGAAAAGGACAAATATTTAACTATAAAGACCACTAAACCGAAAACGATATGTGTTATACATTTCTATTAACATGTTTCAATCTTACAAATAACCGAAATTTTTTTCATCAGAAGATATTTTCTTTATAAAAACAAAATGTTTAACTTGAGATCAAATAAGTAAATCTGTAACTAATAAGAATCGTCAAACATAAAAACATATTATTTGTATGTATTTTATGTTGTCAACTCGTGTATCACAAAGGTTTATAACCTACTGTATTATCATGGTAACCGGGAAATTCTGTTATCACACAAAAAGGGTAAAACCGAATATTTTGGGCCTCCCGATGATTTGGTGTTGACTTATGTGTCAGGCCCGGTCAGGACTGAATTGATGTGTTCGACTAAGTTCTTTGTCATTACAAATCAGAAATCGGGAAACAAAACTGTTGGATAATGAGAATGATTTTGGTCCATGTCATTTGTTCACATGATATCTTGCAGAACGAGGATTATATGATCCATTATCTTAGGACACACATTGACTAGGTCAGAGTTCGAAAAAAGCTATGAGAGCTACGATTGCTTATCAGTTTTTGAAGTCATACTTGCAATTATAGTTATTAGACTTATCTAAGTGGGAGACTATTGGATTAGATGTATAAGCCCATAAATATAATTGGTATGTACTTGAATTGATAATGACATGGTTCCTTTTGGGTTGCCTTCACACTTTAGTATGCTCCTCCAGAAAATCCTATACTTTTTGATGTAAGGAAATGTAAGTAATATGACACATACTATTTCCCTCCACGAATACTTAGTGCATACAAGTTATATATAATCCAGATCGAACAGACAGTCGATTGTGTATAACCCTAAGCCCACAACCAAACAAGGAATAGGAAATGAGGTGGGAATCACACATCCCACTGCATGACGGTTCTTTATTGTATATAACCCTAACATATCCATTAGGTAATTACAGAGTTAACAGTAAAGGTCCTTTTTGATAATATGAGTGTGTTCTTTCAGAAAATCCAATATTTTCTTAGTGAGTGAAATATAGTCTTAGACCTTAAGACCAAATGTATGTTCATTACTGTACTCTGAAATAGTATATGTAATATTAGTATACTCGATACTAGGAAAGTAGTGTATTGTAGTAATGTTTGTTATGAAACATTGTATGAAAACCTGGATAACACCAGTAGTAAAGTATAGTAGTGTACTGTATAAAAACCTTTGTATGAAAGTCTGGATACCACCAGTTGTAATGTATAGTAGTGTAGTGTAGTTTCATTAATTAAAATAAAACCATTTGAAGAAATGTTAATCCCATAAACAAATGTACTAGTTTATATTGTTGTGAGTTTCATATAACCATGCTTGATATGACTAGTGACCTTTACGACGTTCTTCAGGCAACGAAAACGTTATGACATTTGTCACCCCAGGCCTGCCGGCTAACTGTAGCTAACAGTTTAGGTGCGGGATTGTCAGTCCCGTATAGATCTATACACAAATTCACGCTCTCCCTCCAGGAGACTCTGGTTATATTGTAAAGGATTTAGACATGTACCCTGATTGGTACAATGAAGTAATGCCTCACAACCCTGTATTAACTAGTTTACGTGTAGCGTTTTATATTCTCTTGTATTTGAAACTGTATGTATAACCTTGTAGTAGTGTACTTTATAATGTAAAATAATTATACTTAAATAATTATTTAGTAATGTACCCTTGAATCATTGAAATAGAGTAACATCCGTAAACTATTTTCACAATATTTTATATGTATGTTCTTATTTCTGTATAGTACAGGGACAGCCTTAATGTTTGATGTGTTAAGATAGGGCTTAGGGCACCCAATTGATAGGGGCCCCATTTATTTTTAATCCAATGTCCAAGTATGCAAAAAA